ATGTGGGATGTTATGTTAAATCATTTTTCTTTCTATTAAGAAGTCTACTTAGTCTATAGATACATTATTAAAATGCATTCTTAGATAATATTCACTTTATCTATAATTATAAATTGTACTAATGATTAAATTTTGAGTTTTTATACAAGCTAGACAATCAAAGACCAAATATATGGAATATGAATAATGATAGTTGGCTTAATTACATCAATATACAATCTTAATATATTTGTGTACTTTTCAGACTTTTATTGACTCTCCATCATTGTCATTGTTCACAAAACAAAATTCAAAAGTTCTTTGGAGTGCATAGCAGTTATCAAGGGTGAAAAATGTATACAATCGTCAACGTGCATTTCAAGTTAACTGAATTCACCGAAAATTATGATAACTGTTAAATTATCGTAACAAAGATTATTTAAAGAATACTCTTGAAACAAATATAAGAATTCAAAGACTCACAAATGAAATGACTTAGTAAAAGAACCATTGTTTGACTCAGATGATATTTTATCCAATGGCGGCTTTCTTAATTGTTGACTGTGATCGTCGCGATCAACTKCTGGTCTAGGCTTTAAGTCGTTCTCTCGCTGGTTTTCTTGACTTCTGGTGCATAATATCATTTCTTCGTTTCAGCATCCATGCAGGTTTCCACGTTTGTTGTTGTAGACTTACTATTAATAAGATGTGTAATAAGCAGTCTTGATTTAACCAGGATTTGGCTATTAAAGTGACACGAGTTTTATAGCTTGGTAGACCAGTCTATTCCAAAAATTACACTGGACATCTACTAGTGCATGGCTTACTAATTATATGTCTCTAACTGTTTTACAGCCTTGACATTGTTTTTTTTATGTAATGGGGTTAAATGTATTATGAGCGATAAACAGGAAATTTGATCTACAAACATTGACTACGCAAGTGAAACCTTCTGCGCATGCTCTATTGACTTCACACATCATTCCTTGGCACAGGGATCCTGTTATTCTATTGATTCACAATGAACCTAAGTTTCGATAGAAAATAAAAACTTTTTCTGCYAAAACAAAAACTCACATGAATATGATCAAACATGAATATATCAAATCCATGATCTCTATTTTACTAGCTAGCACTAGCCACATGCAGTCCTAGACTGCGTATTTTTATACCCTTTAAATGCTACATTCTGATATTTACTTCAAGAAACAAGATCCAGTACAGCTACTGAGAGTTTATGGTCAAAAGTGTAAAATTCACATTGATGCACAAGTGGCCACTGCAGCAGAACATCATTCTGTTATGTGAGTAACATTTACCATATATCAGTAAAAAGTAGGATGAGAATATGATCAATGCATTTGTGTGTGTTTGTTGCTGTAATTTGTTTACAAATAAATGAAAGAGAAATCTTGAATTCAACGGGAAAAAAATTAATTATACAAGTGTRTGGTAGTGTGAAGAACCATCCCTGACGTCAATGAAATTATTTTTATTGTCAATGAAAAGTKAAAACAGACATGTGAACACTTGTCACCCATTGAGAGCATGCACATCCACAGACAGACTGGGCTATTATATCTGATATCTTGAATCTTTAATGGCGTCATGTTCAAAACGCATACTGTACTAAGAAAATCAATTTAGTAAACATGTACATATTGAAATAAATTAGAGCGGATTTYGTATGAGTGGGAAACGGACRTTACTGTACTGTGACCGTAATCGTACTGTAACCAAATTCTAGTGCCCCATTGGTTCACCAAAATAGTGCAGGCCAGGTCCGGTAACTGTGCGGTAACCGTGCGGTAACAGTGTCCCACTCATACGAAATCYGCTCTAATTTGCTCTCTTTGGATGATCTTACCTTTCATTTCTGATTATTTCTTGTTCTAATAGGATGCCATGGCAAGGACATGCTGACTGTATGATTGACAGGTATATGTGTATAAAACATTAGGACATACATAGCTCTACAKGCCTGTTTCATGAGGAGTTTTATTAACTTATTGTTAACACTGTATTTACATATAAATAGTATTTATAAAGTCCAGTTGGCATGCAAATACTTGCACTCGCCATGCTTATCCAGAACTGAAGTTAAAATTATAGTAAGATTTTAATGAAAAAAACTATATGCATAAATCAATTTAAATTCTATTTGACAAAGTAATTATAATTTGATTCATTGTATCATTCTGTATTCGTCTACACAATCAATCTTCGAGTTATGTTGCCATTGACGGCTTGATTTCATAAAGGTACCAAGTGAATTATATATATCAGCTATTTGCTAGCTATTGGCTTTCTCTATCTCGTACCCAGCCACCATGCCATCTTGCCTCCCTTAATGTGCATGCTTGATGAAAAACAGTGGAATCTAAGTTGAGCAATGTGAAAAGTGGGAATAAACTGTGATTATGAGATTGTCAGCTTTGATCATGAACTCTAATATAAAAATTAGGTAACACCTAATAGCGGAGCTCCAATAGCAATATAGAAGCTGAAAATGATTATCTAGTACTGCTATTTCACAGGTAGATGCTCTGTTCTAAGGAATGTGAGCTACAACAGTTTTGTTGACATGCGAACAAATGTTATAAAGAGTATGTTTATGAGAATTTAGTTCGTACTAATATTGACTTCGGTAGATTTTGTTCCGTTGGATGAAGTTTAATATTATAATCTATAAAGGTCAATTGATTAAAAGTAAACTGAAAGCTTCTCGGCAAAAAGTAGTCTACATAAGCTTACAATAATCAACATTGTTTCAATAATCGATGTTTGAACCCGGACTACTCGAACTTCACATATCACAGAAAACTGTATACAAAAATATATTTTTTACCTTCATTATCGAACTTCCGATAAATTATCGTTCAAAGGTGATCTTCAACAGAGCCATACTTGTTTCAAGCATAGGTTTCATCAATTTATTAAGTCATTCAAGACTGTAGATTCTTTGTTTTTAATCTCTCTCAATCTAACTGCTAGCATGGTCTTGGTTTCGAAATGTCCACACTTTTAGTCGACAAAAGAACTTCGCATAGATCCCTGCTTTTTCCCATATTGGTCCATATTATTGAAGTATTTCCAATAAAGTATCATCTCTTTCTTGTTGTCGAAATATCAAAGTAAAATCCTTYTTTCTAATATCACTTTTAAGATGGGCCTAAATTGCTTTTCATCTTCGCAAATCGATTTCCCGGGTGTGCGAACGCGTCGAAGTTATGACAAAATTGGCGGGAATATTTCTGCTCTGTTATTTCGCTCTTCAGTGGATTTTTTCCTTGTGATTAATTGTTCTAATATTATCAATATGTAATATAAATGTTTAAGGAAAAAATTTCGATTTTTCAACAAATACTTGGCGCTTTGTTTCCTTTTCGAGCGGAGTATGGGTTTCCTGTGGTGGTACACGGAATCCAGGACGGAAATGTGCGTACGCRCGGGAACCCTGTGTCGGTCCATGGAAAATCGACTCGATGGTATACCATTTTTTCTTAGCTATGGTGCTCCGCTCGCGCGGGCCTTTGGCCCGCACGGGAGCTCCGCTATTACCCATTGCCTTTTTGAAGACTTCAATTCAATTCTTTATTTAGCACTATTCRTAATTACAATGATGATAATGATATATAGTGGTCAGGGATGTCAACCCCAGAGCTTTATATATCTGGAGAAATTGCCTCGATTATGTGCATGACGTCACACCATGTGAATGACGTCACAAATAACGTTGCATAAACAGTTTATATATTTTTCATGCTCGAGTATACGTAAGCAACGCCTGTAGGTATTTCGTTCCGTATCGAAAGATCGAGGAAACATGACATAATTCATTGAAGGTTTTCTTTAAAAATAAAAATCTACAATGATGGTTAGTAATTAATATCATTCTATGAAAATATCGTGCTTATCCGGGAGATTTAGGGCTAAAATCTTGAGACCGGGAGATTCAATCTGAAACCGGGAGTCCCCCGGCAAATCTGGGAGAGTTGACGTCCCTGAGTGGTAATTATGGAAATGATAATATTGGTATAGTATGATGTAATGTTAAGCATAATAATGTGCATAGTGGCCAAAGTGGCAGGAGCTTTCGGGTTGGTCACTACCACAGTTGATAAGCCGTGAGTCTACAGCTGATTTTTCTTCATTTTTGTTTCTATTGTCATAATTTGCTATGCTTTTAAATAAGTGTTACTATATTACAAATAATTACATTATATTTGCAATATTTTCAAGTATTTGAAGGGCAAAATAATATGTTTGATAAATAACTTTTGATARTTGATACGTTAATAATCAATTAGAATGTTATTGTTGGCTAGCTGTTAAGATAAAACCTCTTAATTTGTTTTAAAAAAGATTGAAAAGGGAGCTTTTTTATAGGGAAGGGAATCTTTTCCCATATTTTTGATGCAATTGCGGATTCTAGAAAGGCCATAGTTAGTTCTGGAAACTGGTCTGTGGAGATTATCTTTGGCTGCAAATCTAGTATTATGTTTATGAACATGGGAGGGTACTGAAAATTAGATTTGGCAATGCAGAAGGTAGATTGGGGAATGAATTCCTCAGTTTGTAGACGGGAGTGGAAGCTTTGATTTTAAAAATACTATTAAGTTCATGGATTTCAAGGAGCTGATAGAAAGGAGATGCACTCTCATTCATAGGAGCAAAGAAAATTGCTCTCAAACATTTATTTTGTTTTCTTTTAATTGTTTGGAGACGGGTCTGACAAGCTGTACCCCAACTCAATATTCCATAAGAGATATATGGAATATATTAAGAGACAAGATAACGCAGTTTATA